GTCTATTTCTATTTAAATTATCAACACAGCTAAATTTGTCATAAAATGTCCACATTTGCTTATGCTGGGAAGTACAATGACATGCAGGTTAGCCAGGTTTTATTCATTTTGTAATTATGCATTTCTCAAGGTGAGTGCCCCCCCTCTTTATCCCTTTACCTTCCTCTCCCACAGTTGAAGGAAAGTCATCCTGGTGTGTGTATATATGTTGTGAACATTTAAATTTTTTAAAAAAAAATTTTTTTAAAGCAAAAGTAAAATTGCTTCTGGGGTCTGATTTTTTGGAATTGACCCTTAAAATATGTGATCAACATAAATGAGTATTTCAACTCTGAAAGCAGATAGTGTTTTTGAAAGGAATATTTGATTTAGACATTGGACATAAGTGTTCCAAGCAGTTATCATTAAAACGAAATTTTAGGAATGCTCTAAAATAGGATCTGTGAATTTTTACTAGGATGACCGTGTTTCAGTTACACATTTTTGTCCTCGGATAATTACTGTTAGCATTCCCTTTTTCCTTCAAAATGCCCTGGTTTGTATGGTAACCCTGTATTACCATCCCAGCTCTAACGGGACTTGACAGTTCTAAATGAGGTTTTGAAAGCAGGGTAAAGCAGAAAAAAAATCTCTTCAAATCCCTGTTGAATCCTCCAGATAATCAGATGCTATACTAGCTATTTTGGGAAAGAATGATCTTTATAAGTCTAAGGTCATCAAAATTACGTGAAAAATGTAGAGGGAAGAGAGATGAAAAGTAAAAAGTATCGCCATCACTACTGCTATTGCTCCGCCTACTACTGTTTGTGCCCTAGGAAGTTTGAAATCACATTTTATACACTTCCCTTTGTCTTTTTACTTTTCTAGTACAACTTTCAAAGGGGACAGATGGACCCAGAGTGTGTAAAGTAAGCCACTCATTTAACCTTCTTAGAGACAGCCACCATTTCCAATGCCACTGGGTTCCTTCAGAGATGTATCATATAATACACACAAGTAATCTCCATTCTGCCATTTTAAATGGTAGCAGGCAAGCATGTTTTTCAGCATTTTGCTTTTTCTCTTAGTAATATACTTTGAAATTATAAATAAAAGATTTTTTAAAATTTTTAACTAATTAAAGATTTGTAGAGTGGTTAAAAATGATAGTTTTGGTAGCCACCCATCCAACTTCCCCTGTTACAATGACGGTATAAATATGACCATGTATAACTACCAGCATTAGGAAATTAACATGGATGTTAATATTTCCTCAGCCATATACCTTATTTGAATTATACCACTTTTCCCACCGATTGCTTTTTCTGTTCAAGGATTTCATCCAGGATTCTACTTGATTGCATTATTATTTCTTGTTTACTTGTCTTTTTGTGATAACTAAAAGGTTGTGGTGGGTTTTTCTTTTTTTGACCAATTCTGCTTTCTATAGAGTATATTGTTTCAGAATTGTGGAGGCAAAGTTATTTTTTTAAATCTTTGGATTTTGTATAGTGTAAAATAGTGGCAAAAATGGGACTAAGAATCAAAGTTTTTTTTTAGTTTGTGACAGTCTCTCTCAGTTTTCTTATTTATAAACAAGAATGATAAAAAGTTTTCTAAATTTTACTAATAGCCAGATCCTATATTGATTATCTTTAAAACTTGTTTTAGGATGAGATTATGAAGGTATTTTGTAATGCTAAATGAAATTGTACACATGTGTATATGGAGTGGTACTTAACCCTTGCTAAAACTTAAACATCTTTTATTTTAGGACGGTTTTGGGTTTAGAGAAAGATTGCTAAAGTGGAGTTTCATGTATCTTCTTTGACCACTTTAATGGCCAACAAATATAGCCCTTAACTTTTTCTTTGAGGAAGGAGCTATCTAATCTTTAAGGCAGTTTGAGCCAAAGTGCTATTGTTTTTGATCTTATCCTAACTGGAGTTTTAAAAGGCAAATCTTATTTACCATTCTTTTTCTTAAATAACCTCTGTTAGAACCACACAAAGTAAATAATAGATCAGAGAATAGTTCCTGTGCCTTACAAAGACCACTTCCCCTTCCACTCTCCCGCTGTGGGGGAGTCCCCATTATCCTCCCCTGTGCCCACCCCTCAGCTTGACTAAGATCCAGCTCACTTCCACTTTGAAGAATTGCCTGACTCAACTCCTAGTTTGTGCATTTACAACTTTCAGTTTACAGCTTTGTTATGGCATTTATGTTGTAATTCAGTGATTACTGTCTTTTCCTCAGTAAGCCTTTTTAGTTCTTGAAGTCCAGGTTCTCTTTATTCCATCTACATAGCCTGTGCTTGAAAAATTCCTAGTAGATGGCAAAAAATTAATGAATATTATCTGCTGAGTTAGAGTTACATGTTGTTTTATGTAAACAGAAAGAAAGATGGCTTTCCCCCCTCCCCCCTTAAAAAATAACCACTGTAGGGCCTCCCTAATGGGGCAGGGGGTTAAGTCTTAGCACTTTGAAGCTATGAGCAGATCCTGGGCCAAGAGGCTAAACATGGCCCTGCAGACCTCTTCTGTCTCACCTGCTGTTTCCCTCAGCAGTGTATTTCACCTGTTCTGTTCCCCACTGTCTCTGGTGAATCCTCTCAACATCTGTGCCCCCTGCACCCCAGCTCTTGTGTGCATAAATAAAATACATCTTTAAAAAAAAAACCGCTGTAATGATAGTATTGCCACATTCTTGTTCCCTAATTTTTTAATCGTTTTAAGGTGATTTGTGATATTCAAATTATGGCGATAGTGTTTTTTTTTTTTTATTTATTTGCACATACAGAAGTGGGGTACAGGTCAGAGGCTCAGGGGCGGTGAGAGGCTTCACCAGAGACAGAGTGGGGAGCAGAACAGGCAGATCCACGAAGTACACTGCTGAGGGGAGCAGTGGGCGGGTCAGGAGAGGTCTGCCACACCATGTGGGAATGGAACTCATGCGGGAATGGAACTCATGCGCAAGTGGCTTTTGCTTCTTAGTGATGTGCTTTAACCCGCTGCACCACCAGGGTTTTTTTATTCTTGATGTTTTGTGAGACTAAACCTGAATGCCTAACTTTAATCTTCTATCTAGAGGTGTTTCCTAGTCTAATAGCCTCTGTGTCATATAAGGAAACTTTGTACTTTATTCAGTGTCCTTAATTTCTGAGAACACTGTGTCTTCACCTACTAAAATGTATTTTGAAAAATAAGTGGTACAGTGTCAAAACTTTTGCACAGCAAATATAAGTAACTTAATTTTTAGGGATTATTGGGTTAGCAGCTACAATTTTATTTATTACTATTATTATTGTTTTGCATCAAAGAACTGGGGGGTGGACAGAGGGGCAGAGGCGAGAGTCCTCCTAAGAGTGAGGAGCAGAACAGGCAGATTACTGAACAGCACTGCAGAGGGGTCCAGCAGGCAAGACAGGAGAGGTCTGCTAACTCTCTAGCTGGGTATCAGACTCAGACCTTTGTGATGATATCGCTGAGACTTAACCCCTAAGGCCACCAGGGAGGCCCTTTCTCTTTATTTTCATTGTGGTAAAATACACAACAAAGTTACCATTTTAAAGTTTACATTGGTCTTACATGCATTAACATGGTATTACCATTGTCACCACCATATAATTCCAGGCCTTTTTTTTTTATGACAACACAATTTTGGTATCTAATTGTTCGCTAATGTTTAGCTGTCATATTAAGTTTTAGGGTTGTAAGCTGTAAACAGGCTTAGTTCTTGCCCTTGAAGGATTTCAGGATCTTATAAGGGAAAAAAGTAACCTAATATTTATGGTACAGTGTGGAAATTATATTCTAGAACTCTTTTATCATTGTTTTACTTACTCAGCTAAAATTTTACCTTGAAAAGGCAAAGTAACTTTTAGTTAGGCTGACATTCAGTTTGTCATTACCCCTGCATACACTGAATTAATTTAGTCTAGATTGAAGTTTTTAGTCTTTTAATTTAGGTCAATTCAGGACTCCCACATTCTCATGTCCTCTACTTTGTAACAAGAAAGGAGCCCCAAAAATTGATGATCTGATTGATTTATTTAGTTTTTAAAGATTTGTTTATTTATGTATACAGAACTGGGGTACAGGCCAGAGATGCAGGAGAAGTGAGAGGACTCACCCGAGACAGAGTGGGGAGCAGAACAGGAAGAAAGACTAAGTACACTGCTGAGGGGAGCAGCGGGCGAGATAGCAGAAATCTGCTGCGCCCTGTGGGTCATCTCCCTGGCCAGGGAATGAATTTATGTTGCAATGACTGAGGCTAGCTTTGTAGTGCTGTGCTTTATTTAACCCGTTTTGCCATCAGGGGAGGGCTCAATCTGATCTGTTTTAAAGCCAAATTATGAACTTTTCTTAAATAATGACGCAGAGATTGTTAGAGAAAAGTATTTTAGAGAGGACTTCCTAACTTGTGGAATGGTCAGTGTGGATTGACCAGTTGAGCTGTTTTGACTTGTAGTTGCAGCAACAACTTTTTTGATTATGGTCAATACATGGCATTATTCAGGTCGCTCTCTGGGCAGATTTTTTGAAAGGGTGTGTTTTTTAGTTCCTTGAAATTTGGGTGGTAGCAATTGATAATTTAAAGTTGAATATTTTAGTTAAATGCAATGCTGCCAACATCAAATAGTATCAGAGATAATATTTGCATTCTATTATGACTTTTCTTTAGTTTCAAAAAGTGAGTCCAGTATTACTTTTATGAAAAGTAAAACACAGTATGGCCCTTGTTTTTAAGATTCTGCAACCTTCCTAATAAAGTCAGCTTAAGAGTTCATCTCTCAAATGGTTGATAATGTATTACTGCTCTTTCATTGCTTCTAAGAGGAAGAGCCATATTCACAGGTCTATATTCCTTATAAATTCTTTTTACAGGGCTGTATTTGTGGTACAGTTTCACATTTTTATCAAAAAGTATTAAAAGCTAAAAGCAACCCCTCATTTGATTAGGTTGTCAATAATTTCAACAGTTACTGCTTTTGAAAAATAACTGTAGTCTTGTTTTTTCAGGGTAATCATTTTGATCAGTATGAAGAAGGACATTTGGAAATTGAGCAAGCATCACTTGACAAGCCTATAGAATCGGTAAGATCATCAGTACTTAATTTTGGGTCATAGCCTAGTTAGTTAGGTAGTGTTCGTGTGACACTTGATGTGAATGAAGTTAAATTTATTAATGACTTACAGTACAGATTACAGCTATTTTCTTGCATGCCCTACAGTAATCAAAATAGTTTAGAATGTAACCTAATATTTAATATCTTGGGAAATCAATCTGAAAAATTTAGAAACAGTTTAGATTTTTGGTGGAAAAATATCATTTTGGCCCATACTGGTGCTCTGTTAAAGATAGCAAGTTAAAGTTCAGGTTTTTTTTTTGTTGTTGTTTTAAATAAATTGAATAAAGGAGTAAAATGTATTTTGATCCTTTAAAAAAATTTCATCACCTTTCCTGGGCAACACAATCATGTGTGAAATGTTCCACTAGGAACAGTTAGGGACTAATACATTTTATTTACCAGACTCTTGTGAAACATGGTAAATTTTGTTTCTGTAACTTTAAAGTTGTCTGGTTTTTGTCTAAATTGATTCTGTCACTTCACACGGTTTAGTTTGGGATATTGATACAAAACAATAGAACAAGGAGATTTATTTTCCTCACTCTTAATTAAAAAAACAAACACTTTCTACACTACTTTCACTTTTAAAAATCTGTTATTTTCAGATTACACAGTCTGTTGTTAAAATGTCTAAACTTGTCAGTATTGTCAATATTTAATATTTGTGCTTGAGCGTATATTTTCACTAAGGGATTCAGTGAGTTATTGGTAAGCATGAGTGAAAAATTATCGAAGAGGGAATTTTATGGTAGTCAAGAGCCCCTCTCCCCTTTAAGAAACATTAGCTTCTCCCTCAGGAAAATAAGGTAATTTAGAGAGCACAGATATTTTAATTTAGCCTTTATTTTCAAAACTGTAACATAGTAAAGGATCAACATATATTGATGTTCCTAATTAGGTTGGTGTTGTGTGTGTTTGTGTGTGTGTTTAGATGTTTACAGAAATTTACACAACTTGGGGTGTTCGACATTTTTCTTCCACAGCAGTTGGCCCATATTAGCTAAGCAGCCATGATCTGGTTTGTATTGCACGGTCTGCCTTTTTTTAATTTCTTCTCTAGGGTTTCTTTCTCCCCCACCTCCCCTTCTTATTTCTGTTCTTCTGGTCCAGTGAACACTGCATATAGTATCTTCTGTCTTAATGTGCTGGCATGATGCTAGACTTAGGCATGGCAGTAATTGATGACGCATGTGATAATGCTGCAGAGGGAGAATTCACATCTGATGTTGTGCTGAAAGCCCAGTCGTTTGTTTTGAAATATGGATACAATGCCAAGCCCACGTAGTTAAAAATTTCTGAAGGTTTTGCCTTGTTGGAAATTTTCACAAGGCAGAATTTTACAGTAAGGTAGCTAGATCAGTATTTTGTACTTGAAAAAATAAAAATTTCTATTCCAATTGTTTCTTAGGGTCAAAGTTTTTAAGAATAGAGAACTGTCAGAAGCAAGACTCCAGAACCCTGAGGGTCCTATGAGTTACATGGTTGGTTAGCATTTGTGTGCAGTCTATACCACTGTAGGTACTCTGCCTTACCAGTAACTGGTAATTCAGTTAGACCAAATTTAGAGCCTCGCTTTCAGTTTTAGTATATTCAATAAAAAATTTTAGAGCACTAAATAAAATGATAGTTAACATTTTAAAGCCTTTCTGAGGGGCTATCTTTTAATTCTTTAAAAAAAAAAACCATTCTTTTGGCTTGTGAGACTAATGCTCTTTCTCCTCTCACACTGTCCAGGATTTTTTCCAGTACATATTATAGGTAAAATACCATCAGAAGATACTCTGATTGAGTAATCATTGTTGAGTAATCTCAATAAGAGTAGAATTGATACATGTCTTCTTTGTTAAATAATATCTTCTTCACAAAATAGCAAATGATACAGTATACAGACTGGATATTTAATTCCTTTTATAAATACACACATGCAGAAATAAATATTAATTATGCTTCTAGCGAAAATTTACTCCTGTAACTCATAAATATATACATTGTTATGATGTGGTTGTTTAGATAATAGCAAGAACTTTGTAGCCTACATAGTATGAGAAAGAAGCAGGACACAAGATGGTAGAGATTTTATTTCTGTACCAAATATTGGGAATAAATTTAAACTTTTAAAAGAAAAAATTATAAGAAATTCCTAAAATGATTGGTGTCAGTGTAGGTAGTATGCTATCCTATTCAACCTGAAAAAGAAGTTCTCAGTGCCCACCAAATAAGTATATCATGGTTATATGGCTGGCTATAATGAGCCCATTTGTTCTGAGGGGGAAATGGTGTTACTTCTAACACAGAAAGACCATACTAAATTAAAATCTTTCTCTGCAGCAATATCTATTGAGAGGTGCTGACTGTTTTGCTACAGCATGCAACTCAAAAGTGGCTGGAAATATGCAGCTTTGGGAGTCTACAGATCATTGCAGGAGCTAAAGGCCTAGTCATTTTTTTTTTTTTTTTAAACTAAGGTCATCAGCAGCTGATAACCATGGAATTCTCTGCACAGGTTTGTGCCAAGAATATGCCTGTGTGAAAGGTTTTTGTGAACATAGGATTAAGGTCATTTTGTTTTGTAAGAGGGTAAATTTTTGCAAACAGTCAGGATGGAAATGAAATACAAAGATGGCATAACACATTATAGTTTTAGTGAACTTCTGAGACCTAGATATGTTAGTGAGATGAAACAATTTCAGTTTCAGCAAATGTTGAAAACACATCAAAATCCAGCATTTAGAAAGCATTTCATAATCTTCATTGTAAAGTTTGATTCTCCCCCGCTTTATTTCAGCCAACCAAATAACTTCAGTGAAATTTCTGGTCAAGAATAAATTACCATTCTAAGAACATAATGAATGAATTGCCAGATAAGCTGATTAGCTTAATTAAAGAGGAGATGGAAAGTATTAACATTTTACCCTTATTACAAAAAAAGTTTCAGAGCTTGAATTTTAAGCTGTTCATGAGCTTTTTAGGTCCCAGATTACATATATTTACTACCTCTACATATATAAAACAAAATAATTCAGAAAACAAATAAAACTTGCTGTAAATTTACAGCCCAATCTAGGATTCCTATATAATTCCAAGAATTAGTTGGTGTGATAAAGGACATGTGATGCATCATGATCTTACCATAGAAGATAAGAAATCAGATGGAGACTGATTATAAACTAGAGAAGACAAATCTATGATGCAGACATAGAGAAGTCTATGTCTGCATCATAGACTTAAAATATGTTGTCATTATTGCATTTGAAAGTATAACTGCTCATCAGCCATTATTTGGTTTTGTTCTCCCTGACTTACTGAAATCCTATCTATAGTAGTTGTCAGGTCAACTAAGCAGTTTTTAAAAATTAACATAATTTTCAGACTCCAGTTACCGTTGTTTAGTTTGCTCATGTAGGAATTTAGAAATATCTGTGTAATTGGATTTTGTCATGTTGCATATCTGTTTAGATCTGTGGACTCCATAGTTCCAAACTGTAACTCTATAAGTCTGCTGATTTGACATTTAGCAGTGACCATATGTGGACTGCACTATAAATAATGTGCTTCTTGGAGCTGAATGGTGTAGCATTACTATATGGCTTTTCTCTCTAGTTTTCATTGTGTCATCTGTAGTGAGCTCTAGATTTTTGTTTTGGGAATTTTTACAACTTGTTTGCATGGGTTCACCTGGTAGCATTTGGTTTTTGCTTATAGAGTCTTTAATACACAATCAGCAAAGCTTACAATCCACTCAAGAGACTTACATTTTTTGTCACTGTTGAAAATGAGCTAAATGGTGTAAAATTGAGTGTGGCTGTCAAATAAAGGAAATTCAGTATGGAATTCATATTAATCCAGTCACTAACATAACTCTTAAGTATAGTTTTCTCTTGAGACATGATACTCTGTTTCCTGCTATAAAAACTTGGAATCAGCCCCCATACTGTAAAGTAGTTTTATCTATGTGTTGGCAGGCTCCCACCATACAGATTGATGATGCTGTTGCCAAAATGATTGTTGTTACTGTGGTGGTATATATCTCAGTAGAGCAAAGAAAAATTTCCTACTTGAAATTTAATTAATAAATAAATAATGCTGAAGATGGCTGAAACAATAATGAGTCTTTTTTTTTTTTTTTTTTTTTTTTTTTATGTAGGAATTGTGTTTTCAGCATGTTGGTAGTTTTTAATATATCTTGCTTCCAAAGATCTTCCCATTCTCACATAAGTAATAGGAACAGAATAAAATGTGGCATTTAAATTGTAGATTTAATTTCAGAAATAGAAATTATTTTCATAAAGAGGGAAAAAAGGTCATCCGAGGTAGTGAAAAAAGTTTGTATTTTCAGTTTTACTTGATAATTTTAGAATTAAGAAATTCATACCTGAGCAAAAAAAATACCACACCACCACCATTTTGGCATCTTGAACACAGAATTAACAATAGATTATGGGAAACTATTTATGAATCATGTAGAAAACTAGTTTTTTGCCTGCTTCCCTGGGGGCAAAGTTCAGTTGCTTTAATAGTTTATGTATTTCCCTGCAATTCTTCTATGTGCATTTAAATTATAAACAGCTTATACTATCATACCTTTTTGTTAGTCATAAATCACATGGTAAAAAGAGTAAAAATCCAATCATCTGTTTAGGTAAAATGAAATTATAAGTAACCCCACATTATATATTTTGCTTAAAAAAATGATTTTTTAAAGTCACCGTTACAGTGACTTAAGTGACTGAAGTAGTAAATGGTTGCTATTTTATAAGTAAGTTAATGCCCTTTTATGTTTAGATTACCTGTTTGTTAGGGCTATAAATTACTTTACTTAATTCACTATTTTATAGGTAGTATCCACTGAAATAATTGCCAGAATCACAATTCTAACCAGCAGAGACTTTCACAAGCTGGCTATTCATTTGAGTTCCTTGCTCTTATACAAGTGAATATTCGGTGACTATTTTGATAATTTCAGAGGTAGACGAGTCTGCTTTGTTAAACTTTATTAGAAGGTATTTTGGTGTGCCTTCCTTGTATTACCTACCCATTATCCTTAAGCCTAAGATTTTTGACCAATGTTTATATATCCCCCTCCCCCCCCCTTTTTTTTTTGTAGCGAAAGACACTATTCTGAATATCAGTCTTTTGCAGAGCTGCCTTTTCTCCCTCCCCCCCAAAAGCAGGTTGTTTGGAATTATAGGAAAGGTCCAGGTTTTCTGTATTTATTGATCTTTCACTTAGCCCAGGAGCTTGGTGAGGGGAAGAGTAAGTTCTATGAGATAAGTCTGTTGTTTTTGTTACCTTTGTTACTATCACAATGACATGTAGCACGTTAATAATTTTAGTATAGCTCCTGACATTTCATTTCCTACTACATACTTAGAAAATTAGGCATAATGAAAAAGCAGTTTTTACCTAAAATTTAAGACGAGAAAAGCCACTGCCATTTTGTATAATAGTTTTTTTTTTTTTTAAGAAGGTGACGGCCATCTTGAGTGGTTTTGTAAAAGTGGTGCTAATGTGTATAATCCTAAAATTTTCTTTTTTTTTCCCCCTCCCCCTTTAACATTTGCTTTTCCTTTCACTGTTGTCAGTCACAACACGCTGCTCTTGAAACTCTCAGCTGGTCTTGACTCGTGAATTTACTTATGCTTTCACTCTTCTTTAATAAATACATTAATTGCAAGCAGTGAATTGAAAACAAGACAAAAAAATCGACCATTAGTGATTGGACAGTTTCTTACTTTGTGTTACATTTAACTGTTCTTTTGACAGCCCAGTTTTTAAAGCCAGGTTCGTATGGAAATGCTTTCACTCCACTTGCACTGCTTTTGGAAATAGCATACTGCTTCATCTGTCTGTTTATTTTAGTGCATTCATAATATAACACAGTCAGCATAATGTCTCATCTCCACTTAGCCTAAGATTGAATCTTCTTAATTAAAGAGGGGGGGCAACAATTTTTGTCAGCATGATTTGATACCCTAAATCTTTGTGCTAAGTGTAGTTATACTATTAGTCTGTTAAAAGACTAAACAGTAATATAATCAACCACATGTTCTTAGAATCATTCTGCTATCCTTGTCCATTCCATAGTTATTCAGTTATAGGAGTTACGATATAAAATAAAAACTTTATGTACAGGTAAGTTAATTTTGTTTGGTAGTATAATAAAGGCCCTTTACCTTTTCTGTCAATATGAATTTTATTAATTTTTTGAGTAATTTATAAATAGTGATTAAATACAGGTTAAGGGGATGCTTATGTATTGATGACTTTTAGTATATTTGTAGTAGGTTTTCATTGTTTACCTCATTTGTGATTTTTAAAAAGTATCCAGATCTTTCCCCATCGGTTTTCTAATTTGCATGCTGTCATAAACTTATAGAAGGGAATTGTCTATTAAAAAACAACAAAATAGAGCACTGGGAAGGCCTAATCTTCCTCTTCTAATTTTCTGTCAGAGAAGATAACAATAAAATAAGTTTTTCTTCTCTGTATAACTCCAGAGAACATTTAACATAGACTATGGAACTGGAAGCTAGAAGGCAGTTTAATATATGATGTTTGATTTTAATTTGGAGATTTATGGTTTTGTTAGATTTATAAATTGATTTTGGGAGATTTTGGTGATACCAGATTAATACTATAAAAATTGATTTTAATGTGAACACTTTGTGGTTATAATTTTAAATGTTTTCTTTTGGTTTTGTCTCCACAGTATTTGTAAAAAGTAAAGAATTGATCAAAGGTTTGCAGAGGCTTCTAAGATCTTGAACCCTAGACTAAAGCTGACATTTAATTGTTGTTTCTGGTATTTTTTCCACACAATTTACATTGTAATACCTTTTCCAGTGTGCTCCTAGGAAGATGAGACATTATGTATATTGGTTTTTTTTCCTCCCTACATGCACTAATGGTTCTTTACTGTTAACTTATTGCTAGGCCTGTTTCATTCTAACATTTTAGCATTTTTGTTAGATTACATGTTGAAATGCATCACTCAGTCTGTGCTTGAGCTCATTTTATTTTTCTGTTTAATCAATTTAATTTGTTTTACTAACCTCACTGTTTTTTCAGTTTAATATTGGCTGCATGCTAATTAAATATTTATATTTTATATATATCTATATATATTAAAAAACCAATCAAGTCTAGCCTGGATTTTGCTCTGATTGTGTTTTCATTTCTAGTGGGGGGGGCAGACTTACACTTACAACTTACTTTGTATCATGAAAGCCTGACACATAAACAAAATAACTAAACAAAATGTAGATTTTCTTTAAAAAACAAAAAAACAAAAAACAAAGTGGTGCTGTCTAGGTGGTGGATATGATTGTATAAGAACCTTGATATTATGCTTTTTAATGTTAGTTTTAAACTTCATGAATGTATTCTTCACCCCTTTCCCCTTCCCTTTTTCTTCCTTTTTAAAGTGTTATATACAAAAGTTGCCCAGCACACCATCAGAAAGGACCCTTATCCCATATGTTCTTCCCATATAAAATAGTAGCCAGCATTTCTTTTTACATCAATGTCCATTTTATTGGGCACATTTACCCTGTTATTAGCACCTTTTTGCATGCATATATGTAGAATTATTTCTTGTTCATCACTTGTTTAAATGTCACTAGGAAGGGAAGAATATATTATTGGAATATTTTTGGTTTGTCTCTCTGTTCTGTCTGTCAGGATAATATTGGACATCGCTTACTCCAGAAACATGGGTGGAAGCTGGGCCAGGGATTGGGAAAATCTCTTCAGGGTAAGTTTTTAAATGTACAAAAGAAAGAAAGAAAAAAAGAAAGAAAGAAAGAAAAATGATACTTCTAATGCAGATCTTGTAACTGAATGTATTTGTCTTTTGTTAATGTTTTGGGTTTTTTCCCTTACCTTTCTCCCCTTAGAATAGTCTATTTTTCTTATAATTGTGTTTTAAATCACTATTAAGCTATAATTTGCAAGAATAAGCTGCTGTGTCATGAGAACTTTCTGATCAAACATTTGTGTGTGGCTCAACCTGTTTTAAATGTTTTTGGTGGAGGTTATGTGTGGGTGGTAAAAGAATTACTTAGGATCAAGTGTGTTTTGTTTGTGACCCTTAGCGATACTGTATTGTGGCTTCAGTACCATAAAGAGAACCATACAACAGCAGTTTGATTTTTGCCATAGGAAATTCTCCTTGAAGCTGGTGATTGCCCTCTTTTTCTCTGCAGTCAGAATCCCTGTAATAGTAGCAAAATTACCCAACAATAGAAGCAAGAGTTTTTCCTAGGGCTCTTTGAGCAGAGAGGCCATTTCTCAGGTTCAGATCCGGCTCTGGAAAATGTATGACGTTAGTGTTCCCATCGCATTTTCTTTTAACTATACTAACCATTTGGATAAAAATAAAATACTAGCAGCCCTCCCTGGTGGTCCAGTGGGCTAAAAAGCACAGCACTATGAAGCTATCGCAACCACTGCAACAGGAGTTCAATCTCTGGCCAGGGAGGTGACCCACATGGCATGGCAGGCCCCTCCTTACGTACCCGCTGATCCCCTTGGCAGTGTATTTCAGTATATCTGCCTGTTATGCTCTCCCTACTATATCTCTGGTGAATTCTCTCACCACCTGCACCTCTCGCCTATACCCCAGTTCCGTATGCATAAATAAATAAATCTTTTTAAAATTAAAAAAAAACACCATCACCACCACTATTTTTGCTTCCAAGTTCTTGCTAATTTGGAGAACAATTCTATTCACTTTTTTATCTCCCTCATGTTCAAGAACTACTACTTATTTACTCTTTGCAGAGGTAATGCTACCTCAGAAATGATGGGACTCGTTGCACTTTCTACATGTGGCCATGGAGGGCTTACTGTTTAAAGGGATTTTAGGATATACTTTGTTGACTAATTGTTTGAATTTTGGAAATCTCTACAATTTTTTAAAAAAGTATACCTCCTTTATTGAGGGTGACAAACAAACAAACTGCAGCCAAGCAAAAACCCAACCCAAACATGTAAAAACTCAGGGTGCTAGAAATGTAAGATCAGTTTATTTAAGTTCAGGCTTGTGCAGGCCCTGGTCACAAATCCTAGTGAGGTACAGTGACCACCAAGTTAGGGAGAGAGAAAAAGGAGTGAGTTCAAGAAAAAGAGTGGGAAGAGGGCCCCTATAGATCACCAGCAAGCACCTTTACAGTGGCACCTCCACCTTCTCAGTGACAGTAAGGATATACCAGGTGCTGTCCCTTTGACCCTCACCCCACTCCTGGCCAGGCTTTGAAGGCCAATGCCAGATGGTTTTACCCCCCTTTCCTCCATCCTTATTTTCTCAGGTTTCTTGCCTTACTATTCTTTTTCTTCACATTCTTCTGTGTGATTAGTAGCAGATTAGGATACTGTATGAGTATTAGTGAGCCTGGGGGCTAGGGCAGGTGCAGAGTTGGAGATAGGGTGCAGGGAAGGAAAGAAGAACTATCCAATGCCTCTCTTCTCTTCATGGGGTCCCATACTGTACAGTCAGCTCCTTTTATAGCCACACAGATCTGAGAATGCACTGTAGGTATAAGCAACTATCCTGTAGGCCTGCTGCAAGTTGGGGGGTTTATTGTCTAGCATTTGGTGGGGCTGACTGGTGATAGATGGCTGCAGTGACAGCTTCTTTCAATGGGTCAGGCTGCTGTTCAACATGGCTATGCAGGCTGTACTCATGCTCCTTCCATGCTCTGGGAGCCTGCAGCAGATATATCAGTGATGTTGCTGACTGTGCTGGCAAGGATGGAGGAGAGCAGGGCCTGCTATCTGCAAGCTGAAGGCAAGCTGTGGTAGTTGGGCTCAGCTCTGTTTGGGGGTGGCTGGGCAGCAGTAGCATTGACTCCTCTGGGTCTTGTTCTTAGTCATTATTCTTGCTACTGTAACTATACCCCATGGCTGGGGGCAGAGGGGTGCTGAGACCATTTGCAAGAGAGAGGGACAGTGTCCATCAGGAGCCCTTCTGGTTGCATGAATTTCCACAATTTAAATGGCAAGTGTGTTTGTGAAAAGGTGCCATCATTGTTAAACAGGATGAATCACTTTAAAATCTTAGCTTTTTAAATTACAGTTCTATAATTCTGGTCATTGATAATACAGAAGATGGTCAATAAGTATATTTTTAATTCATAATTACTACTACACATTTACCTACTCTTTGGGGAAGTTAGATTTGATTATAATTAAACTTGTTTTCTTAGTGGCACAAGATCTTATTGCAAATATAACAAATATAATTAAGGGCTCTCCCTGGTAGCGCAGTGGGTTAAAGCACTGCATTATGAAGCTCTCCGAAGCCACTTTATCATGAGTTTGATCCCCTGCCAGGGAGATAACCCACATGGTATAGCAGACCTCTCCTGACCCACTCGCTGCTCCACTCAGCAGGGTACTTTGTCAATCGCCTGTTCTGCTCCCCACTCTGTCTTTGGTGAATCCTCTCACCGCCCCTGCACCTCTGGCCTGTACCCCAGTTCTGTAAGCATAAATAAATAAATCTTTTTTAAAAAAGAGAATAACATAAAACTACCATCTTGACTATTTTTAAATTGTTGTGCAAAGCCTGCCTACTTTACATGGCTAGTATCATGTCTTTATCCTTTTAATTTTTTAAAGGATTATTCCTTTATTGTAAGATTATTGTTTTTTTTAATTTTTGCCTAGAAGAGCTGGGGTGTAGGCCAGAGGTGCAACAGGTTGAGAGGAGACAGTAGAACAGGCATATCCATTACCAATACACTGCTAAGAATACCCATGGGTGAAACAGGAGAGGTCTGCTGTACCATATGGATTAGCTCCCTAGCTGGATCCCTTTGCCCCAGGAGGGCTGCCAAGGTAGCATTGAGACTTAACCTTTAGGTCACCAGGGAGGCACCCAGTGTCCTTATCCTTTAAAAAGTGTGAAACCAAAAAAAAAAAAATGTGAAACCTTATTGTCAGCAGTAAGAGTCAAGTTTTACTTTTATTTTTCAGTTTCACATTCAACACTGTGTAGGCATTCTGGTCTCACTTCATAGCTCTTCTGTAATGTCCACATGATTTTACCTAGAATATAGCAACACTTATGGCTATATTCATAACAGATATTTTTCATTATAGCAAAACTTTGCTAGAAATAATCACTGAAGCCCTGTTGCTCTAGTAAAAATAATGCCTCAATATTACTTAGACTAATCTCTACATGTAATTTCTAGGTTTGTGGCTTTGTAAGTTTTGTATTTACTAGTTTGTTGTCAATTTTCATTTGACTTTAGGGCTAACATCTCAATATGCAGCCTTGTGCTAAAATTTAAACCTGGCGGACCCTTCCTGGTGGCACAGTGGGTTAAATTGCACCACAATGAAGCTATCCGCAGCCACTGCAGCATGAGTTTGATCCCTAGCCAGGGAGGTGACCCACATGGTGTGGCAGACCTCTCCTGACCTGCCTGCTGCTCCACTCAGCAGTGTATTTCAGTCAATTTGCCTGTTCTGCTCCCTACTCTGTCTCTGGTGAATTTCTCACTACCCCCACCCCCCACACCTCTGGCCTGTACCCCAGTTCTTGTATGCATAAATATATCAATAAATCTTAAAAGAAATTTAAACCTGATCTTTTCAGAATTTTTTGTTAAAGTTTAAAAGTTATTTCAACCCAAGCAAGAGTTTTATACACCCAGTTCTGGGTGCTACAGTTCACATGTCTTGGCATGGATTGGGGAAATAGGAAATTCCCCAATCTGGGAAGATTGGGGAATAGGGCATACTGAGTCTGGAATAAAATTATCTTGGGGTAGAAAACTGTAAGGGAGATTTAATTTTGCTCTCAAGCTCCATAGACAGCTTTTGTTCTCCTTTAGTGTTTATTAAAATACTTCAAAACCTGGGCCCTCCCTGGTGTGGTGCAACAGGTTAGGACGCAGCACTATAAGCTGGTGGCAACCACTTCAGTGCAAGTTCGACCCCCCGCGCTGGAGGTGGTCCACATGGCGTGGCAGACCTCTCCTGACCCACCCACTGCTCCCCTTAGCAGTGTACTTCATCTGTCTTCCTATTCTGCTCCCCACTCTGGTGAAGCCTCTCACTGCCCCTTCTCCTCTGGCTTGTACCCCAGTTCTGTATGACTAAATAAATAAATCTTAAAAAAAAATACTTCCAAACTTCAAAGTACAAGAAATTTTTATCACGTGTAATAGATAAATGATTTAGTATTGAAACAAAAGACTTATAGAAAAGATAGGTTGACAAAGTCTGAAAGGAAGAAAAGGCCTGCTGATGAGAGATATTATGGACAGTTGCTTATTATAGAGGCAGTGAATATGTTTGATTTGGAATAAAGCCACAGTAAATGCTAAGATATTTTATGACAGTTGGGCAGGATTTGGTTCTTGAAAATGTTTTATAACCTTCTGGCAGCTTTGCAATGGAATGAAATGTAGCTCAAAAGTATTTCACTCTGGAATATGTTTGTTTAGTTAGTAGGTATAACACAGAGGTGATGCCTGAGTGTCCTTTGTTTACATTGTATAGAGCTACTTGATGTATTGGTGATTTAATAATTTTTTTATAACAAATTTAGTACCTGAATTCATGTTATAAAATCTGTAAATATTACATAAATGCTTATTATTAATATCTATTGTGCAGTATATATTTGCTTGCATCAAGTTGAAGATAATCCATTTTTAGGTCTTTTTTAGAATCTAAGTGTTATAAAAATCAAGTAGAGGAGCCCCCTTTATTAGACATTTCCACATTTTACAAATAGTA